GTCTATTCCTCTAACGAAGACCCACTTCGGTGGTGGTGCGGGATGTCCAGGGCTTTCTGAAACTCTATCGGCTTGCTTTTCGTTATCTCTGCGTGCCTGCGACTTCAGTTCCTGCCGAGCGCGTTTTTTCAAGTGCAGGAATTTTATTGTTAATCGCCTCAGGTCCCGTCTTTCACCAGACCACGTTGATAATTTCACTAAACAAATAACGCATGGTCTGAGTAAGTAAAAATTTTTTTAGACAATATAGCCTACACGAAGTACGTTTTTAAAAGCCGTTTTAATGCTATTTCGTGATAAACCTTCCTATTGTTTTTGACTTGTGTTTTAATATGTTGGCTAACGTTATATGAAGATGAAGAATTCTGTCAGGCCATTGATTGATTTTGCATTGTTCTGCATTTCCCCAGCTGATTTGAATAAATAAGCTATGCTTTGGCCGGCGTTGAGTGTATGCTCTTCTTTTTTTTTTCTTTTTAACGACCGCCTAAAATGAAATGATGATAACGCGAGGCAAGTGTGCAGCAAGCGGAATTCATTGAGGGATTTGACAGTGTGATTCATAGATTAAGTATTTCAAATATAGGCTATTATATATGCTACACGCACGCACAGAGGTTTTTTTCTTACTATCTTTTGGGGGTTTCTTGCTTTTAGACTTGCTTTTCGGATACAAAACTTTCTTTTAAACGTCAGTCAAATTAGTCGTCGTGCACATCCTTAGTTATCATGTCTGAAAACAAACACAAGTAACGGAGTTCATCATTTAAACGGGCATTGATGTTCCATACAGACCACAAAAAATACAAACCATCACAAAAATTGTTTTTAGACAAAGTTTTTTCTTAATTTGATAAAAATGTAAGAGTGCAGAAACATAACACCTCTTACACCTCAACAAAATATAAAATAAAAAAATGGCAGACATTTAGGCCAAAGTGCATGAGCAAAGATAAAAATCCTTGTCATTATGTTATCTTTGAGTTTCTTTTTTCTGCTGAACATAAATGTTTTTTTTTTGGAAGAATGTTTTGAAGCAAGCAGTTTGTCCCCAGTTACTTCTATAGTATTTTTTTCCTACTATCAAAGTCAATTATGGGGACCAGCTACTGTTTGGTTATCCACATTCTTCAAAATATCTTCTTTGTGTTCAGCACAAGAAAGAAATTAATACAGGTTTGGGACAACATGTGAGTGAGTAAATAATGACAGAAATAAAATTTTTGAGTAAACTATTCCTTTAATGACAGTCTGCAGCATGTTTAGTACTGTCGCTTTAAGAGCTGCACGCATCCGTTTCTTTCTCAAATGTTTACTTTCATTTTAGACATAACCAACTGTGTTTATATGTAAACCTTTTGCGTTTTTGACAGTATTAGACGCGAAATTAATCAGATGCGAAAGCCAACTTAGTCCAGTAATTAGGCGCTGTTTGACAGGCTTTTGTGCGCGCGCTTCAGGTGTACACGCTGAGAAAAAGCGCATGTCAGAACAGCAAAATGTTTAACCAGCAAGGCTTTAAAGCACATACAAATAATGTACTTTTGTGATTGTGAATAAGTGCAGTGTCCTGTGAGTGTAACTCTACTGCTGAGTAAACATTTGAAGTGAATGTGGCGTTGTACAGTATATTATACAGACCGAGGTGCCTGTACTGCATCTGATAAAAAATATATATATATATATATATATATATATATATA